CTTTTGAATATATTATTTTAAAACAAGCGGAGTTCGTGCTGTTCATTTACCGTCGAATTTATCGCCAACAAGTCACAGACACTACTGTATAAGAATCCTCAGCCCAACCCACTCATATACTTACTTTGATGTGTACTACTTAGAAAGTAAGTTTCCTGACAGAGACTTTAGATATGGAAATTTTGATAGAAAATACTTTTTGTTAAAGCTCTTTCCTGGTTTATATTTTCTTTCAAAAGTAAAGTAAAAGCTAAATTAGCCAGAATTTGCAAGGCACTTCAAAACTTATGCCTTAGGAGTTTTGATGGGAAAAAAATGATTTTTGAAAAGGCTACATTAAGTGCATTTTTCTGTCAGAATAACGCAAAAAAAGAGTGGAACAAAATCTTTGAAAACACCAATGTTTAACTTTAGTGATGTTGATGAAGAAATCTTTTCCAAACATAAAAAAGTGGGTGTTTTAATTAAAAATTAAATTTAAGATCTCCGATTGTGTGTTTTATGAGAAAACCTATTTTTTGAAGCCTTTTTTTTTACTTATCTTTTCTTATAAAGTAAAATAACATCTAATTTAGCCAGAACTTCGAAGCTACATCAAGGCTTTGAAAAATACTAATGGTTAAATCTTGGCAATGTTGATCAAAAGAGAAACTTTTTTGTAAACACGCTAAATAATATGTATTTTAGTACAAAATTAACTGTGAAATATCCAATTGTGTGTATTTTAAAAACAACAGCAATCCTTTCGAGTTGAATAAAAAAATATATCCTTTGCAAAGCTTAGATAGGAATTTTCTCTTATCCAGAATAACTATAAACCTATATTGTCCAGAATTTCTTCCCAGTATGCAGAGAACATTGCTAGATATGCCTGAAAGACATGAAATGAACTTGGCACAGGTCATCTGAATAGTTGACCAATCCCTCAGTGTCAGTTCTTTTCTAAACCTTGAGCTCATCCAATAGATTGTTTCATTTTCCACTGGGTTGAATCGACAATGCATCTCAAATGAAATGTTTCCCAATCATATTGTTGCTCTTCATCTAGATGTTAGATAGTATTGAGAACCAGACTGTCTAATCTCAGTATTGTGCTTCCTATCCTGAATTCACCCATTCAAGATTGTGACTTGCCTGAAATATTTTAGAAACTGGTCTTGTTCCTCTCTTAACGTCCTCTTGAGCAATGGAGGCATGATCTGCTTCACTCCTTTCACAGGAACCTGTGTACCATCTCAAAGCCTCTCTCTCTCATAATACTTGGTTCTGGAACATACTGTACTGGCAGAATCTTGCAATCCGACAGATGGTGAGTCCCTGTTCAGGACTACTGGGAGATGAGCAACTCAAGGTGGCTCATCATACAGCCCTGAATGACTGCAGGTATGATGACCATCACTAGTGCTACAGGAACCTTCCAGTCCTAAAAGGAACATCACTCCATGGATCATAGCTTTGACAAGTAGCCTGTTGTCTCACCTGAAAGAGAGATAATTCTGACTTTCAGAAATCATCTACCAGTGGCACGTCTGGCCTCTGTTCACTAATCACCAGAGGTTTGGATCAGTGCTTTCACTGCTGTGTTCCGACTGGCAACAGTTTAGGAGTTTCGTGGAGAGCTTCTCACGTGGTTTCAAATCATCAGAAGCTATATTCCAGTGCTATCTGTCTTTGTTCGATTGGCCTGGGTGTTCCAGACGTGAAAAATCTCCCTGAGTGATTGCTTACAGGCTTACGTGTAATATGTTGATATTTTTCAGGATGTTACTCAAAATATATCTGATAGAAGAGATGTATAGACTTGTTAAACTTATAGTTATATTTTCAGAAAGCTCTCGATAATGTGTCACATAGAAAATTAGTTATGAACATCACATCAGTTAGAATTGAGAAAGACTAGCTGATAGGATTATGAAAGTGGCTAGATGATGGAGAGAAAGCAAAAAGTTTTATAAATAGATATAATTTAAACACTTAAACCTGGCAAAACATTTGGACCCAGTAGGCCTAGATTTTGTGATAAAACTCATGTAAACTGCACATTTTTCATTCATTTGTTTTTGCATCTGAAATGGACTAATTATTAAAAAAGTTAGAGAATGGGGGGATTCTCTAGCTTATTTGCTTTTTATAACAAACTCTTATTCTATTATTAACTCTTTAATTACCTTCGTTACTAATACCATACTTCAGGAATCATGCAGTGCTTGGGCTTTTCCACTTTCATATTTGTGTGGTAAGTTCTACTTATACTTGGCAAATGACAGTTAATTAATTGCGAGGTAATGCAGTCGAGTTTTAATAATTTGGGCAATACATTTATGTTGATGGGAACTCACGTATTAAATATCGTGACTGAAAAAACTTGATGATCTTACCATAATAGCAGATGAGCCATCTAGGCAGTGTTCTGTTTGTTTTTGTTTGTTTGTTTTTAATTATGCACAAAGCTACACAAGGGCTATCTGTGTTCTGCCCACCACAGGTATCGAAACCAGGTTTCTAGCGTTCTAAGTCCGCACACATACCGCTGTGCCACTGGGGGGCACAGTGTTCTGTTGCTAGTACGTAATAAAGCTAGTTGGATTTTAGGATGTAGTTATAGACTAGTTGATTATTCGTCAAAACAAGAAATTATTTTTTTATACATATCACTGTTTATGCTTCACTTGGTGTAATGTGTACAGTTTTAGACTTCTTGTCTAACAAGAAAAACTGACTTGTTGGAGAGGATTCAGAGGAAAGCGTCCAGGATGTTTTCCTATAATAGATGTGGTTGCGTTATTGAGATAAGTTAATATCTTTTAACTTATTTTCTCTTGATAAAAGAAGGGTGATCGGTGATATAATTGAAGTTTACAAGATTTTCCGGGAGATCGATACGATTGATAAAGGTCTCTGATTTATTTGTGTTATATCCTGATGATAAGAAGACGAGATGCCACAAGTTAAAGATTTACAAAATACTGTTGAGATTTCTAACAGAATTATTATCTTATGGAACTGACTGTTACGCACAATAGTGGAAAACTTAAAATGGGAATCGAAAATTAAAAGACGAGTTTATAACTGTTGTTTTTATGTTTCTTAACCTCACAGATGGGTGTGCAAGGACAGCGTTGTCAGACAAAGTGGTTCTATGTTATGATAGTACACGCAGTCTACGTAATCACGTGTCTTCAAAGCTACTAATGCTATTTAATATTAACTTGCAATTGTATTTTAAGAACTGAAAACACGCCAATATTATGACGAGTTCACATCTAATTTAAACATTTTAATATGATAATATTTGTCTGTTTTTGAGCAAGGCCACACTGAGATACTGTTGTGCCCACCGCGGGGAATCGAACGCAGGATTTTAGCGTCGTAAGTCCATAAACTTACTACTGTCCCGTCGGGAGACATACGAGAATACAAATAGCATTTATTTATAAGGTTACTATAATATAGTAACCTATTCACATACCTAAATTAATTCAGGTTACTATATGGGGAAGTAAAACGAAATCAAAACCCCATAGATATTATATACACCTCACCGTTATAAGAGGCCTAATGGTATTTCTATGGTTTACTGATTCAAGCTATGTTGACGAGTCTTAAAGTGGTGAAACGGCAGTCCACAGCAGAGGGTACGACCAATCAAAGAATGCATTAGGTCCTTACGTCACAGATTCTCTTTTCAATTTGACCTCTGGCGAAAAAAAAATCTTTAACATATACATATATCCAAATAACCTTTGCTAAGTTTCAAGGTGGCGTCAGAAGGCAGGTTAAGTAAGCATGGCGACCAACGTTTTCCGTGTTGTGCTACCTTGCATGTCTCAAATTATTTTTCGAAGAAAAGTCTTAAATTTGGAATATTTACTGATTAAAAGAGCACTGAGGATTACAAGAACTATTTCAAGTTCTTTTGTATGTAATAGATACTATTCCTCATCAGATGGGCAAAAGAATAAAAATACACTGCTGGAAAAATATTTTGCTGCTAAAGAAGCCAGTGAAGGTAAGACTAGGAAGTTACTAAGACTAACACACAGTAAGACTGTAATTTGTAAATTGTAAGAATAAAATGGTTTGTTTTGTTAATGTTTTAACGATAATAATATTAAGAATAAGAATCAAGATGCACTACACAAGAGGAGTATTTTTTCATATCTTGCATAAATCCACTTTTAGTTTTATCCAGTTCTTTTCTGAACATCCAAATCTTACTCTTAGTCTTACTGAGTCTTAGTTCTCATAGTTCATTAGTTGTTATGTACCTAATAATTATCAAGTTAAAGATTCAACTGGTGATATTACAGTCACACTTGATATGTATAATATATATTATATATATCAATATAATATTGATATAGAGAGGATTCAGAGGATGATGGATGGGAATGTTGTAGGGGGATAGGCTAATAATAGCAATATGTCTTGATTTGTTTTCTCCTGAGGAAGGAAGGGTGATAGGTGATATAATTTAAGTTTACAAGATTATCTAGGAGTTTGATATGATCTATATTGGTCTCTAATTTATTTGCGGTGGATGAGGGGAAAGGGAGGCTTGATATGTATATCAATGTTATATTTTATTCCTTCTTGTAGATAAAGTACAACAACACATTGAAAAATAGTGGTACTCTCTCATCATGTGGTAAAATATTCATCATTACTACAGATATTTTGTAGAAAGTGTGGTGATTTATGGTATATTGTCACAGAATTTACACAATGCTCTAGCTTTTTCAGTCCATTTAAATGAAGATCAAAAGGGTTTTCCAGAAAATTATTGAACAATATGTTGTTTTACTTGTAAAGTTCTTTATACCAAGTTAATTAGTATACTTTTACATTTATAACTTATTATGCTGTATTTTTTTAAATCCTTTTTTTTTTAGTTGAAATGCCCCCACTTGATGTTGATCCCCATGGAGTGTTTGCAAATAACGAACTCGATCTTGGTGACATTGAAGTTTATGGGTTTGACTATGATTACACATTAGCCGTGTACAAGGAATCTCTTCATTATTTAATTTATGATCTTGGCCGAGATTGGTTACTCAATAAATTTAAGGTAAATTAATCTAATGTTTATTTTCAATGCATTTTAAATCGTTGTTGCTTTTATTAATTTCCTTAACTTTGCAGGTATAACTATTTCATAATCTTGCCAAAAATGCTACTGAAATTTATATTTTTACAGTTTTGAATTATTTTTTTTATAAACACATATACTGTGAAAATTATATGGTTGTGTAAAAAGTAAAGTTTAGTGTTTAAACATTTAAGTAGTAAAGCACTTGTATGTTTTTTTCATCTATAATAAAATATGTGAACTTAATTATAAAAGAGCAAAACCTGCTTCTGTTAAATATGTTTATTTGCATTTGGAATTATATGGCATTAGTCTTATGTATTGAATTTTAGAGTTTATGAAGTTTTTCACACTAATTAGGAGAATTTGTGTAACTTAAGAAGTTGAAATTACTGTTTGATAACTGCTGAGAATTAAAACATTAATAAATTGTTTAAATTAGCATTTTGTGTGTGTAACTAAAATTGTGTTGTACAATATAGCTGTGTTACTGATGTTGGGAACTAAGGGCATAACAATTGGTTAATAAAGGATTTGATGTTACATTTGTCTACAGTTTAACATTTTTTAATCTACATCTCTGTCTAGCATGTATAATACAACTATAATTTTATTCAGTTATTGGTAAGTTAAAAACAGGCTAAATAAATTGCATTATTATATAAATATAATCTAAAGACTAGTTATTTGTCAATTCTTATTTTAAAGATAAACTTAATTACTTCAGCGAAAAGATAAGGTAGTAATAAAATAGTGTAATATAATTTTAGGCTTAACAATGTTGTCAATAAGCTACTAAACTATTTGTATTTAGTGTTCATTGTTTATTCCCAGGCTGCACTGGTTAAGAATAAGAATAGTGTGTTAAGTACTCACAGTTTGCAAGGTGTGATAAGTGGGTTTTATGTGGGGATTTGGGACTGACATGCACATTTAAGGAAGCTAGTAGTGCAATTGTACAATTTATGTGTAGAGTTTATAGGTTGGAGGAGAAATTGGAAGTTTTCCTAAATAGGGTAGAGGGTATGAATAAAGAGGTTGGTAAACTGCAGGAAGTGGCAGCAGGATTTAAAATGGAACTTAAGCTTTTTTAGGATTTAGAGGATACAGTGGCTAATAATGACATTCGGGATCTTAAAAACATTAATAAGGCTAGTAGTAGTGGATTTGATTATAATGAGCAGGTTCTATTAAGTAGCATATCACTGCCTTTAGCTTATGCAGATGATGAACTAGAGGAGGGATGGATAACAAAAGGAACAGATACTGAAATAGGGATGGTGTGATAAACACAAGGAGATTATTGTTATAGGTGACTCTTTAGTTGAGTACACGGATAGGATTGTCTGTGGGGTAATAAGGGAGAAAAGAATTAGATTGATCTATCCAAGAGCAGGGATAGAGGATATAACTAACAAAGCAAATGATATAGTGAAAGGTGCTGGCAGTGATGCATTCTTTGTAGTATGCATAGGAGCTAATAATGTAGGGAAGGGTAGTCACATCTTATTCTTCAGTGCAACGTGTTAATAAAGGCACTCAAAGAAAAGGGCCATAATAACTTAATTCTGTCAAGAATACTGGCAAGACTTAACTGTAGAGATGAATTTATAAGTATGTCACTAGGACTGGATGCTAGGCTTAGGTTATTATGTAAGGATGAGTATGTTATCTGGATGGAATTATGGGATCAGTTCACTGGGAATAGGGAGGTCTTTGGAATGGATGGTTTACATATAAATAGTGTATGGACTGCCTTGTTTACAAGGGCTATTAACTCAACTGTATGGGCAATCTTAAACTAGGACTAGATATTGGAGAGGGCCAGAAAAATTAAAAAAAAGTTGTAGAAAAGGGTATAGTATGGTAACACGGTACAGAAGTAGTTTTAATAGTAGACCAAACTGTATTATTATTATAATAATGCTAGAAGAATAAGAAATGGGGAACTTTAGAGCACTGGTTGGAACAGGGGAGTTTGATATAATGGGAATAACTGAAACCTGAGTAAATTTAGACAATTTTGAGGACAGGAATTTCTTTGAAACACATGCTTATAGGTTGTTTAATAGGAATAGAATACTAAAAAAGAGGGGAGGAGCAGCATTTTTTGTAAAATGTGGGTTACAACCTGTTCACAGTGAGATAAAAAATTCCACAGTGAGATTAAAAATTAAACTGTTAATGAAGTTATGGGACATTTTTAATTCCAGACATATAGTTTGGGAACTATTAGTTAAATCATGAGAAAGGCAGGTTTTTAGAAACTGTTCAGGATGAGGGAACCTTACTAGGAACAATGCTATTTTAGAATTTTTGTTAACTTCTAATAAAGAAATAGTTATAGGGTAGAGATTGGGGAATGTTTGGGTGCAAATGATTATTGCTCAATTAGATTTGATGTTTTGCTGCATATGGAGATAAGAAATAATGAAAGTTTATTTCAGAAGTTCAAAAAAGCAAATTTTGAAGAGATGATACAAGAAATTATTTGCTGTAAATTGGCCAAGTGGGTAGTTGGAGATACTGATCAAATGTGGAAAGGTTTTAAAAATAAATTCTTAAATATTAAAGTTGAGCATGTTACTTATCAAAAAAGTAAAAAAAGAAAGAGTAAAAACCAGGTTGGTACACAAAGGGTATAAAAGATAAGATTAAAGAAAAGCATTATAAATATAAGAAGTTTCAATTGGCTACATTGATGAGAGATATGGAGGACAATAGAAGATCAAAAAGCTGGTCAGATGGGATATTAGGAAATAAAAACTTATAAGTAAAAACTTGTCTGAAAATGTAAAATTTAATAGTAAGGATTTTATCAAGTACATTAACAGTAAAGAAATATTAAGATGGGAATAAGGCCTTTGAGGGATGATACATGAAGGTTAATATCTGATGATTAGGGGATGGTGGTTAATTAAATTCTCCTTTTCCATACTTTTTTCTATTGAAGATTTAAACAATAATATTCATCCTGAACAGTTGCTAGGTTGAAACAAGATTGAATGAGATGATCACATTAATTCTGAACTTGTGAAGTTTAAAGAACGATAAACCCCCTGGGCCAAATAATATTTTTGAAAGAGGTAAAAGATTGGATGTGTGAGCCAGTTGGTACTATTTTTCGAAAGTCCTTGAATAGTTGGCAGGTACCAGAGGATTGGAAATTGGCTAATGTTACTCCTGTTTTCAAAGGAAATTATAAAAATTGTTCCAGTAATTATAAGCCTATTAGTCTTATATCAGTGCTGGGAAAAGTCTATGAAAGTCTAATAAAAGATGTATTGCAAAATCATTTCACTTAGTTTAAAATTTTGTTGGATGGTCAACAGGGTTTTACTAAGAGAAAAGTCTTACCTTAATAATCTTTTGACATTCTTTGAGAATGTTACTGCTTATATAGATGAGGGTGTTAGTGTAGATTTTGTTTATCTATTTTCAGAAAGCATCTAACAAAATGCCACTTAAAAGGCTCTATAATAAAAATTATCTGTAGGTGTGAGAGGCAAATTGGCTCATTAGATAGAAAAGTGGCTGGATTGAAGAAAGCAGAGGGTTTTTATAAATGGAGTTCAGTCAAACTAGATTAATGTCACAAGTGGAGTATCTCAACACTCAGTGTAAGGACCTTTGCTCTTTTTGATTTATATCAATGACATAAATGGAGGAATGGTCAATAGATTATTTAAATTTGCTGATTAAATTAAAGTTTTGGGCTTCACTGTTTGTGAGGAGAAGGGTGCTGCCTTAGAAAAGGATTTGAATTATTTGGTGAGTTGGGCAAGTAAATAACAAATGGCTTTTAATTATAATAAATGGAAGGTAATGCATGTGGGATACCACAATTTGAATTAAGAGTATAATTTTGATGGGAATAACTTTAACACTGTTTTTAAGAAAAGATCTTAGTATTCTGGTTGATCCGTCTCTTAAGCCATCCAAACAATGTGCTGTTGCTAGTTGCAGGGCAAATATAATTTTAGGTTGTATCTACAGAAATATTGAATACTAGTCTAAAGAGGTTATATTGTCATTTTATAGGTCATTGGTTAGGCTACATTTGGAGGACATTGAATTATTGGAAAGGGTTCAGAGCAGGGTTACTAGGATGATACCTGGGATGGATAGGTTAAGATCTCTAAATTTGTTTTTTCTCATGAAAAAAGAAGTGTTAGAGGAGATATGATTGAGGTGTTTAAGATTGTTAAGGAAATTGGTAGTGTTGATGAATCATCTTTTTTTCATATTTAATGGTGAGAATGGCAAGACTAGGGGACAACTATAAATTTTTGCAGGGAAGGAGTCATCTTCAACTAAGACAGCTTTATTTTTCTAACAGGGTGGTTGGCTTTTGTGGGTTATTTTTAGATGCAGTTGATTTGAAGGAATGTAAGGGGAAGCTTGGTAAATATTTGAATGATAAAGGCTGGCTCTGAGTTTTTAATGTGTAATTTAGTGGATAGGACAGCCTAGATGGACCAATAGGTCCTTTGTTGTCCTTTAATGCTATATTATAGTCTGCTAAACATTTTTTTTTTCATGAAGTATCCCAAGGAGATAGAACAGCTTGACTATAGACCTGGCTTTGCAATTAGAGGACTTCATTATGATATTCAAAAGGTGAGTTCTGTGAAGTTGTAAAAGGCTGCATACGTTGTCTCACAATGTTAATTACTTCCATAAAAAAGCTTGAATAATTTTAAGTACAACATTAAATATCATAGTGTAGATATCAGCAAATACTTTATAATACATGTATCTTTCATTGCAAACTTTTAGCAACCTTGATGTTTCAACTTTTTTATGCTATTATATACCATTTAACATATTTTGTTATTCTTAGAATTATTGAAGTATTTTAACAATTTCTACACTTTTTTGCTCAAACACAGTTTCTTGTTTATGTATTTGTGTATATTGTTATGATTGTAAACTACAAATACAAGTGTAGGCAGTAATATATGTGTATTTGGTTTACACATATATTTTTTGTATTCAGTAATAGAATACATTCACATTGTGAGATTGAACAAAACTTGCTAGGTAAAGAGACCTTAATGATTCTGAAGAGATCATTACTACTAATTTATTTGGCTTTACTAAACAAAGCATTATAAAAGTTTGATAAAGTTGGATTTAACATAATGAAAGAATCATTTTTGTATAAATAGGTCAAAACTCACATTTATACCAAAGGTCATGAGATTTAACAGAGGAAATAAATTTCTGTAATAAGATGTTTGTGCTCTATTACTTGTGGCCATCAAGCAAAAAATATTTCCTACATAAAATCAAGGTGACTGAAGCTAAAGCCTATGTGAGAGCTGTTGTTTTTAGGAAAGTTGTGCTGAGGCTTTTATTTATAGATTTATTACATACAATTTGTTTTGGCTCTTGTAAATAAATATTGTAAACTTTTATACTGCAAAACAGTTTTTTAAGCAAAAATATCCTAAGATGTGATCCTTCAAAATATGTTGAATAATTCATAAAAAACAAACCACTTATCTCAAGATAATTTACCCCCTTTTTTAAAATGAGAATTTGTTATGAGTATTTTATAATTGTATTTCTGCAATATGAATGTTGAGCTTAATCCCTAATTTTCTATTTATTATCTGGTGTAGAAATATTTTTTTGTGTATTTGCTGTTTACCTGCATGTTATCATAAAAGTTATTTGAAAGGGTTTGGCATATAATTTTTAAATGGTCAATAGGAAAACACACAAACTATATATATGCAAGAAATGTGCAGAAATGGATATATGTTATGAATAAATGTAACAGAAGCATCTTTGAGATTATTGGAGAGAGAGCCTGTGGAAAACCCTTTAACCTTAAGCTTACAATAGTAGTAGAAGTAGTAATATTAATATCATGTTATTTACTTTAAGTACCTGGTGTTAAAAAAAATGCACACAATAGCTAATAATAATATAGTGAAAATAAAAATTATTGTTGCTGGTTAGTTACCTCCCTATGGTTTGTAGGCTATAAGTAAGAATGACACAATGCTATCTGTACTGCACATTGACAAAACTTTTGTTATGGGACTCCATATATATATGTAAATATATGACAAGTAGATCATTCTAATGTCATACATCTCTAGTATAAACTGTTTTTCTTAACACCAACCTTTCAGAGATTCAAAAAATAATTATGGCACGAAAGATCCCTTAACTAAAACTGTTTCATTAGCTTTAGTTTTATGTCTTATCCCAGATTTAAATAACAAATATTTTGTGTTCAGTGTGTATAGTTTGTACACTTCTGAAAAGAAGTGTTTACAAAAAAAGAAAAAGCTGTCAACAGAAAAAAACATATGAATTGTGTATTTAGTCGTCATATCTTGACATTTTATTTTTTCATTCTAAATTATTTGTTTTTGGTTTATGATGTAAATAACTAAGAAAATAAAAATCTTTATAATTTTTTATTTGAACTTTTTCACAGTTATATTTATTGATAACTTTCTCAGTGCCAGAAGTATTTTTTAGATACATAATAGAAACATAAAGACAGATGGTTTAATATTTTATTACTTGTATGAAATGTGAAACATTGATAAGATTGAAGAGGAATATCCTTTGTTTGTAGTACAAAATTCCAAACTCGCATTGTAATGAAAAAGTTAAGAGAACAGATTTCAGTTAAGGATATGTCTCAAGAATGCAACACCCTCCTGATGAATGCAAAGGTTACTTAACTCGCATTAGGACTACTTTATACAGACTAATTCAGTATAGTTTTACTATGAGGTAAGTCTTGGTCTATAAAGTGACTGTTGGAGTTATTTTATTTCACCAGTAAGTCTATTTACACAACGTTTATAAAATAAGCTTAAATAGCATATATTTTCATTATTATTGTTCATTATACACATATAGAAGTAGACTCACATTTGTTATTTATATATCATTAGGAAAAAACATGAAAACAAAAAATATATTAAAATATAACTCTCATAGTAGGCAGGAATAATACTGAGACCTAACTTTAGTTGTGTATGTGCTAATCAGTGTTTCCTGCATGCTTTATTATCCATTTGTTTGTTCATTATTTGTTAAAAGGTTCGAGACTACTGACAAAGCCAGAGTTATCCAGCTTTCATGAAGTATGTTGTTTTCAGGGGCTGTTGATGAAAATTGATAGTTTCCACCAAATTCAGTTTGGTAGTGTATACAGGTATGTTTTGGTCACATTTCAATTTATATTAATCTTTCGTAACTCTTAACATAAATTGCATTAATTAAAGCAATAGTTTCATGTTTATTCTCATGACAGTTTTCTTTTAATCTTCAAAGCCTCTTTTAGATTAGATGAAATGCACTACTTCAGTTTTGATAACAAAATGTCTCCTGAAATACAAATCTCATTGTGGATGTGGTATTCCAAGGATAAAGATTATTTAAAAATGTTGATAATATAAAATATGTATTTTGAGATATGGGTATGTTGTATTTACATATTACATGTGTAATGACAGCACAGCTTGTGTAACAATACACGATACAGTACTTCAGCAGTGATATCTTACCCCCTCCTTGTATGCTGCTAATCCCAAGGTTTCGGACCAGTCTTCTCAGCTTTTCTTTTCATGTTTTTTAAGTTGTTAAGAATTGCATTGTGATGTCAGTTAATGACAGACTTTTCACAAATTTTGTCTTTTTCACAAGTTTCAGACTTTTGTTTTTTAGAATTTTCATTTTATCCCAGTCCTACTTAAAACCTCGTAATATTTGTCTTCTTCCTTCAACCTTAAGTAAACATTTTACTAATGGTCTTTTTGTTTTGCTTTCTTTAGCAGCAATGTATGTTTCATTGGGACATTCTCATGCAAAAATAGTAAATTTATTTTGCCAGCATTAATTTAAATCACAAGAGAAAACTTTTGCTCCTGTGATTTTATTTACCATTGACAACATATATTAATCAAGAAAAGTTACATTATTTACCATTTATATGTTATATTTATTTTAGAATTTAACTTCAACTCCAGTCATTTATTTATGTATATAAATAATACACTTGTGTTTGTCTGTCTGGATCTTTTCTTGTAAATTTCTTGATCAAATGTTACAAATCTCAATAGAAAGACTTTTGTCTGAGAAGTCTGGACTGTGTATTGGCTTTTTCATTCAGAATCACCTTACCAGTTTTTTTTTTTTCATCAAACATTTTAATGCAACGAGTGTGGTATACGATAGCACAATGTCATTGTCTTCACTGACTGGCTTCGATTTCAACTTTAGGTTATTTATTTGCAAAGTATTTCAGACAAACAACACTTAACTTGCATGTAATTTCATAAAAACAAAAGAACATCACACTAAATACAATTGCTATGGGCTTTCTTGACTTATTTAAGTTTAAAATACTAATATACAGTATGTTCAAAACCATATGTTTATCAGTTTGTGAACACACATTCAGACATTTCAGCATATTCAACTAAGTTTGCCTTCATGACAACTTTGCAATAATTTAGCTTCAGTTCGTTTCATGTACTGCTATAAACACCTTTTAGCTACTTTTTTCTTTACTACAGATTTTATTCTTTGTTTGAACTAATTGGCAAAACTGTTCATACACTGAATGCTCATAACTGTTTCATACTCTGTACACGAGTATAAATACCATTACTTTACTTTATTGTTTACTTTACTTGTAGTTTTATTAAATAAAATTATGTCTACATGAGTTGTTTTGTCTGACCAAATAAAATTTTTAAAAATAGATCAGGATTTATTAATCTAACACATAATGCTTACAAGGATGCCTTAAATGGCATGCATGAAAATGATAGAATAAGGAAAATTTAAGCAAAGGACATGAAAAACTACAGCAAATGTTTTGTGCATTGTAGCTAAGGTAAAATAACACAGCTTACAAAAATGTAAATATATGTAATTTTTTCTATAAATTTAAATCTACATCCCTAGCTGATTTCAAGTAAACTAAGTGCTTATAATTCATTATTGAAATATAATTATCATTTTATAAATACATGTACAAAATATAATTCGAGTAAGTAAGACAGAGTTATAAAGTCAGAAAGTTAGTTACATAGACAGTTAGATCTAGTGATTGTAAGTTTAGCCATAAAGAGTGTATAGTGGCATTTTTTAAAAGTGAAATTATCACAGGTTGTAATGTAATAATAGAGTAGAGGAGAATAATTTGTCTTGTCAGTTGTGTTCTAAAGTAACTGAACCAGCTTGTGTGGACTTTGATGAAAAGAAATAATTGTTTAAAGCTCTGGATACAACTGTGGTAATTAACTGTGTGATGAACATTTGTATATATATGTTTGATTTGTTTTAATATATTACTTTGAAAGAAATGGATTGTGTGCTGTTTATTTATCATTGAAATTTATCACCAACAACTTACAGAAACCTACTGTAAAGAAACTGGCTCTTAGAAAAAAAACCTAACAAAATTGGCACTTTCATGCTCAGAATTGTTTTTGTGAAAAAGCAAAAACAAAATACATGATGAATAAAACATATTTTATTAATCTCAGCTTAATTTACCATAACTGTGATTTATACTAGTTCATGGTAAACCTTATTTTCTACTTCTAAATGTGCAAGTTCTTAAAATGCAATTAACCCTCTATAGATCCAAAAATCTTACAGACCATGGATATATGTTACTCTTTTTTTTTTATAATTCTAAATTGGAAAATTATTACAGCTGATTGTAAAATTAAAATTTTTGTCACTAATTTTTTATCTTGAGAAAAGCCCTGTTAAAGTCGTAAATTTTTGTCATTGCTCTTCTAAAAGTTTTTAAAGGTTCTCATGGTTTCAGCTAAGTAAGATCAGTAATTACTCTCATATTTTTTTATTTAAATTAGCAACAAAAGCTCAAAATACTGTGTTTTGGAAGAAGTGTGATCGTCATACGAACAAGTCCTGAAGTCAGGTTTTTGTTTGAGCAATCTCTGGAGTAATAGTTTTGTGCAATTCTACTTTTGAACTTTCGAAGTACTTTCTTGTTCTTGCTAAGATCCTTATTCTGCCTTACATCTGGTGGAACCTTCTTCTCCCCTTGAATTTTTAGGATGTGGAGTTTGAAGACTCTGTTTATTGATATCTAGGCATCTTCTAGTTTTTGCTGTGTTTTTTTTTCTCTCTCTTTGTTCTTGCCACTAGCCTGAAGGTCCTTTCGTTTGATTGTGGCAGATGTTTCTACTAGTGTAATGTTTTGGTTACTTTGTTAATACCTTTGAGAATTGAATTTGTGGGAGCCTTTTGATAAAGGCCTATTTGATTGTACTTTTATTCTAACCTCTGTTGATCTTTAGGGAAAAATATGGTTGATACATTTGAGCTATTCTTGCCTCATTATATACTTATGATCACTTAGATGTTGGTCCATGCAGTACTGTCAGTTGTAGATTTGGAAGATTAACTCAATTTATCAACATAATTGATCACCTGTGAGCATTGATTACATCAGTTAGTGTTCCTAAAATAATAGGTTAATTGAAATTATGATTAAATTGTTAAATTGATTAATGTCATGAAAATAATTGGCTAATCAAAATTAGTGTTTTTATATTACTGTTTTTTGATCATTTCAACAGTGTAACTAACAGGAATATTGACATTATGATTTATCATTATTTTCAGTTAATTAAAGGATGTTATGTTTAACTGATTAGTGTTACAACTCATGAAAATAATAAAGTAATCAAAACTAGCATTTGTGATTATTACTATCTTTGATTATTCCATCTTATTTCAGTCTCATAAAAGAATAAGCTATCAATTGAATGTAATCAATTAATGAATTTGATGATTACTTAATTAGAAAATTCTAGTCATTTGATGTACTAATGATATTTGTCGTAGAAAACCTTTAATCAGTTTAATTATGTCCAGTTTTAAGTGACCATTGATTTTACACTTTCAAAAATGAGATTGCTGCTGTATTAGAGCTACTAGAATGTAGTACTATGAAATTGGCAGATAGTCCTTCAGCCAGTATATTCTCATTTAGATAATCTCTATACATGCTTCAGTTTTTCCTTTTGTGGCTATGAAATTTACTGATAGTCCTTCAGCAAATATATTTTCATCTAGATACTCTCCATACTTGTTCAGTGTGTTTCTTTTGTGGCTACAAAATTGGCAGACAGCCGTTGGTGCTCCATGTTTAAATTTTAAAAGCATGGACACATATTTTTCATTTATACTTCTTTGCTCTTTCTGCATAATCCTGTTTCCATGACAGTCATAATTTTACATATATCTCATGGTGGCATATCATAATTGAACTGGGTTAGTGTCTCATTCTAAAATTAAAATTTTAATAACTTCTTTGTGTTTTTCTTCTTTATGTTTGATGGAAAATCTGCTGTACCTATCATGACTTTTTTTTTCTGCTTAAGAAGAACCTATATACCTCCTACTTCATGGTTTCAGATGGTTAGTACATAATAGAGACAGTTAGTGAATCTTTTTGTAATTCTCCTGGGCCATTTAACTTTCTCCTCCTGTCTGAAACTTAGTTAATAGTTTGAGAAATAATGCATTTCTGTTCTGGTCCTACTCTTTCTTAGCTTCTAAACTTCACAAGTAGCTTTGTGAAAACTAATCAAAGTCACCATCTTAGACATATAGGTCATTTGGAGGTAGATAGTTCAATGCCTTGCTTGCTTGCTTATCATCCATTATGAAGTTCTGAGAATGCATTAATGTTGATTTCTCTTTCCATCAGGATGTTAGAATTGATGCTCTTTTTACATTGTGAGGGGCTCATTTTCTGTTTAAGTAGAGGATTATGCATTCCAAAGACCTACAACGATGTTTTCTATGCTTGTCCAATGGATTAATACTGTTACTAAAACTTTATATCTATACTTTAACATTTTATGGAAGCAACAATACATGTGGCAAACCTGCATATGTAGGGATGAGAACTGACTAATATTTGGCAAGTTCTTGTCATTACTATTCTCAAATTGGCCATAAAATTCAGTGTGAAAAATGTTGGGGGGGGGGGGCAGAGACAAAGTAATAGTGCTTAGTAGGCTTAATCTGAGGTTGTCTTGTCTGTTTTGGTGCTTATGTTAAATGAAAATCAATATGTGAGGCTCCTTTTAATTGGCTGAATGATAGATGGCTAACCCTTTTGTAAAATGTTTTTAAGCTGAGGGTACCTCAGAAATGTACAGTCCTTAAAGTGCAATAGCAGACAATAAAAAAGCCTAGAGGTAGGATTTAAATCTTTCACCATCTGCCTTAATGGTGTGTGCCTTTCACCAATTTGATTAGAACTATGTAGAATAGACATTTTTCTTTCATTGGAAATTATTTTTGTGGGCAAAATAATTTAGATGGAGCCTAAATTGGACAGTGATACAAATAATCTGAGTCTTGAAATTTGATTCATTAATTAAGAATTTTTTGTTACAAATAAAAACATATTACAAATGTATTAAGTGTCACAGATTTTGAAATTATTTTTAGTCTTATTAGTTATTTCAAACATATTTCATGTGTTTCGCTATTTATTGTTCTGCATTGATATAAAGAATCTGTTCATTTTATTACAGTACAAAATTTATAAATTTCATAAAATATGTTTATTTTATAACAGTCATGGTTAGCATATATTGTTCATTCAAAACCTTGCTATTAAAAAGATCTAAAAAGTGTTTTATTTCAGTCAAATATTTAGACATAGTAAGACATCTTTGTATTTAAATGCTAATCAGCATTTTTGTTCAGCAAATTGAATAAAAGAAAAAGAAAAATTACAGTCAACTTTTGTGTTTTACTGATCTAATGCATTATCTGCCATCACACTGTCATGCGTATTTGATAGTGTAGGTTTTCTTTTATAACTTGCTTTATTCTTTTATTTTATTATTTCTGGGTTATTTTGAGAAACCTGTCAAAGTGAAGCAAGAGTTGACTCTTGCAAGTGTTTTTAGTATAAAAAGCTTACCTATCTTATTAAAATGCTTCTACAGAATGTCTATCACTATATCATGTAAATTGTTTGGAAGGCCTTGATGAGCTTCTGGCTTTGTCTTGTGAGAGTGACATCGTTAATGTGCAGGTGTGCTAAAGAAAAGGCATTGTAAACACCCAATGTACTTGTGTAATAAAAGTGTTAGTGATTGTTTATAAGTGTTTTCATGGTACAGTTTGTACTTATTCCAAATGAGGGTTTTTAAAAGGGGATGAGAGGTGATTGTGTGTGTGTGTGTGTGTGTGTGTGTTTAAAGCTTATTTAATTAGAAATAAATCTCAGTTTGTATCATAAAAACTCCTTAAGTCTGTGATTAAGTCCCTCAAATAAATCCATAGCTATTTAATACATTACTCTCTCTCAGCTGTGAATTTAGGTAAAGATTATCTTATGAACGTAAATATAGTTGTTTTATATACTAAGTCTGAATTTAATTTTTATCTTAAAAAATATTTGTGGCTTTGTTGTCTATTCTTTTGATTTCTTCATGTAACTTTTTGATGTGTAAATTGCTGTCATATTTTTAAAATGTCATCACGTGTCAATCACTTGTAAAGTTATACTTGTGACACATAGAGTGCTTTAAAGGCTATCTGAGGCCTATTGTGTTATTGTTTTATATATAATAACATTATACCTGTCTGTGTACACACACACACACACACACACTTTTTGTGGGCTAATTATTTTACTTTAATGTGGCAAAACATTTAAGATTGTTGGACTATAATGTCTGATAAAACAAAAAATAGACTAATAATAATTTCAAAGTAACATGTACTAACAATGTTTATTTAATGACCTAAACCCCTTTTTTCCTATATGTTAGATAATTTCATTTTCTCGTGTTAAATTTTATCTTCCTTTTTTTTTTTCAAGTTTGATAAGATTTGTAATTTGACATTATTCTGTATTCAGGGGATTAACCACACTCTCTAATGAAGAAGTAACCAGAATCTATGGTGGCACTTATATTCCACAAAATTTAATACGAGGAACTGAGTCAGAGGTGAGAGCAAGAAAAATACATAACAAATTTCTTGTGGTAGACATAATCCTTAGATAAATACTTTTCCATACAAGTCTTAAATAACTATGATTTTATTTTTTTATCCTGTAATGATACCAACAAAAAAAAATGCTAAAAGGATAATTCATTTCCTTTAATTCAAGTGTTTGGTAGAGTTAAACTTTCAAACAAAGTTTTTTGTTTTCATTCTGTTGTAATTTCTTTATTCTTAGTATTTTAAATTTGTCCTTATCAGCATAAATAAGATTTTGATTTTGTTTGTGTTACAGTTTAGTATCATTTTAAAAAGCACTCTCTTCTCAACATGCAATATTTTGTTTATGTTTGATATTTTTTATCAATCTTTGTTTATTCTCTGCACCTACATTTTACTAACTCAAGAGAAATCCATTTTATGCCAATACTTTTTGTATAATAAAAACATTTTTAAACATTCTGGCAGCCTTTGTTCCCTCAGACTATTGCACTTTAAATGATTGAATTAATCTACTTCTAGGGAAATATTTATAACTTCTATAATCGTCTTTTCATAGCTACAGCTTTTAGCTCTTTTGTACTACATATACTTATAGATTTTGAAAATTTTCATTTCATTTTTAAGGACATAAAACTAGTTCTTAAAAGGTGGGTAAGTTTTATTTTGTATATTAATTAACTTTGTGGTGAATGTTGAAAATATGGAAAATAAGTCTTAATTGTTTTTTAGGAACTTGCCAAACTTAGATCAACGCTAGCTAATGTAATTAATAATGCAGGCATACATTTTACAAAATCTTACAATTTTAGCTTAAAATATCTTCAGGCATGTTTACTAATGCAATTAGTAAATAAAATGTTTATCCAAATTTCATCCTTATTTTATTTTAGGTTTAGCAATATTTTTATCAACAGTAATAATTTTCTTATTTGTTATACTGCTTTTCATTACTATACTTTAATTTGAAGATAATCCAAGAACAGTAGCTAGTTGGATGTTGTTATATTATCTGATATTCTGCTTGAAAAATTCTACACCAATTATCTTAAAGCAATTTTTCCTTTTTTTTCAGCCTAGTCAGATGAAACAGCTGAATGATCTATTCACAGTCCCAGAGATTTGTTTACTGTCCAATGTAACTGAGTATTTTGAGAAGCATAACATAGCCTATCATCCTGAAATCCTTTTCAATGACATTCAAGTAAGAAAAGGGAACTTTTAATTTGAATAACTAAATACATATGCATTTCTATGTTAAGTATGGTAATGGCTACTTTTAAGCAGTCTTAATTGTTATCTAGTGCACTTTATATATATATATAGTCTGGAAAGTAACCATTTTCTTTTTTACTCTTGGAAACTTGTTCCTTATATAGAGGGCTCTTGTTGCTGCACCTAGATTTTCATGATACAATGTAGGTTAATAAAATTGCAATTTATCTAGCATTATAAAGCTCTGTTAACTTTGACTACTTACACATTCCATTCTTTTTCAAAGGTAAGCAAAGTTATATGGTGTGATTAATTTATGTGCTTTATTCTGAAGAACACTTTGAGTGTGCATAAGCACCGCAAGTCATCTTCTCAGAGGCATATAACTACAGGTCCATACAAATCTTAACAGTAAAATTAAACTGCATCTAAAATAGATTATATTGAATCTGAATTTTTTTATAGCAAAAACCTTCAATTCACAGTGTAGTAATAAATTATAAAATTATACTAATTTATTTCTATATATCTTGTGTTTGATTTAGTAGGTATATTGAAGATTACATGGATTTCAATCAGGTAATTCCGTTCACTCGAAAGATTAGCTATTCCCATTCAGTGCTGCTCTCTATATGCAAACTATTTTTGAATGCATGTCACATGCCTTCTGCTCCCCTCTATTGGAATCTAGTGATTCCAGCATGTCTCTCATGCTAATCATCATATGTCACTTCACCACCAATGGACATGACGTAGTCACGTGATGCATGTGACTTCCTCTATACTCTTCCACCAAACTATCATTTCTCATTTGGCAGTGCTTGTATTCAGACATTTTTAGTCATTCTTTACTGTTTCATTTTCCTATTTAGAATACTCACGAAGTGGTTTTCATTTATTATAACTTCCAGATTTTCTGGAGTTTGAAATTTGCCTTCATTTATCCCAGCTTATTCTAGGTGTATTCTGAAGCTAATGTTACTGCTTCGGAGGTCATGCCTACAACTAGTGCTATTTCACAGGGTGCGGATGACCCGGCATGGGTTTTTATCGGTGTTTATCCTCCAGGAGATTGAATGTTAAAAAGGTCGGCCTCTTTCTTCAGTTCTCGCCCATAATTCCTACCGTAGAAGCCGACCCTGTTCGGGCAGACGGAGATCTTGATAGCCTTTTTCCACCACCGGATTTCAAGTGTTTGGTTCTTAATTTCCATTATGTAGTCTCTGCTCCCAATATGGATATTCTATTTTCTTTTCACACGTTTATAATGGCTTTCATTCACGTTACTCCACAGACAGTTTCCACATTATTTCATCAGAAGTTTGATCATCTAATGTCCAGACTTTCTTCAGACCTTGCCTTGTGCTCCACCATTTGCCATACACTTCACCAACTTTGGAAATATAAGACGTTTTACAATTTTATTGTTAATAGTATTATCTTTAATTATTTGAATTCCATAATATATGCTTATTTAGATTAGTTAATACTAAGTCACATTACAATTTGTAATTAGTCTTTGTTGTTTTTCTTCTAATCCATTCAATTAGGCTTAACATGGTATGTCCTTTATTAGTTTAACTATGTTATTTCCTTACTTTTCTATTTCATTTTTTTTTTCGTTAATAATCTTTTTCTTCACTTGGTTGGGTGGAACCCTTGAATCGGGGCCCAAACAGAGACTTCTTCCAGTATTGTGCCTATTTATTGTTCAGTTTCGTTTTTCTTTTCATTCTTAGGTTATCCTTTGTTCTGAATTATTCAATTAGGCTTAATTAGTATCCATTCTTTTTTATTTCACTACAGTTCTAGTTTAGATTTCCTTGTGATTTCTCTTCACTATCTTGTTTGATTCAGCTTCATTACTGTATTATTTATCAGTTTACTCATGGTATTATTAATGGGTTAATATCTATTTAGGTTTCCAGTTTTTTTTCACCACTACATCATATGGAATTCATTTCCTATACCATTTTCTTCCCATTTTAATATGTTGACTAATTCATTTTGTTTTTCTTTATAGTTTATACTTTCCCAGTTACTTTCATTTCATCTCTACTTTATAATTATTACCATTCATTTCATTTAGCTTATAATTTACCCTTCTTACCATTAATTAATTTATTGGTTTCTCGTAGTTTTATGGACAGGTTCATATCTACCATGGTTCCAGGTTTTTCTTCAACTCAACATCATAAGGGATGCATTCCTACACCATTTTCTTCCCATTTTTCACTGTGTTGACTATTTAATTTTTTTTTCTATAGGTTATACTTTTTAGAGTTACTTTCGTTTAATCTCTACTTTATATATCTTACCATTAACTTTGTTTCGTTTATAATTTATCCTTCATACCAGTAATTTAAATTGATGTGTTTGTGGGTGAGAGCCGTGGTCTGCCTATCTGCTTCTACTATTGCTCACCTTCCCCATCTAATGGCTGAACCCATTTTCAAATGTCCTAAAATTGTCAGTTCTCCCTGACCTTATGGAAAGCCTTCCAAACTTCTATTGCAGTGTCTACTGGACCTACTTTACACATTTTCAGACACGTTTTGCTGAATATTATCTTCAGGTTTTCTGTGCTGTTCCTCTTGTCTCTTTTGAGTTTGGGTACTTACAAGTCTTACCTTTTATGGCCTTTTAATTTTACCTTAGTTTACCTTCAGGCAGATTTCTTCCAGCATTTGTCAATTTTAGATTGTGGGATTTTCACCCACTCTTTCTTCAAAACTTTGAGTAGTTTTTTTTTGGTGGTTTCTTGACTTGTCGGTCAAGTATGGCCCAGAGGTTTTTGATGGGGTTCATGTCAGGTGATTGGCTCGGCCAGGGCAACTTCTGGATACCATTTTCTTTCTGCCACTTTTGGGTGTTTCTAGCAGTGTTACACGGTGCTCCATCTTCCTGGAACAACGTTGTGTTCTTGTCCACGAAACCCAAGGAATAAAGTGGCTAGAGTCCTTCCTCCAATATTTCGACGTATTTTGCAAGATTTATGTTGCCAACACACTCCACTAAGCTCGATTTCCCACCAACCCAAACAGCTACCCAAACCATCACGTTGAAATCACCATGCTTTACAGTTGGCTGCAATCTGTTGAGCCAAAACTTTTGGTGAGGCATTCTCCAAACCCATATCCTTCCACTGTCTGAAAATTGAGCGAATCTTGATTTGTCTGAAAACAATACGGTCTTCCAAAAGTCTAGAGGCTTGGTCATCATATCACATGCCCACT